GATAAAACGAAAAGAGAAAAATATTCTTTTTGCGCGCCAAAAAAAAATCATGAATAAATTATCGTTTTCGATAATTTATACAGAAATTAAAAATTCAAACCCAACCATCTACCGCTGACCGCATGAAAACGCGGGACCAAAATGTCCGTCAAAGTGCAGGTATAGTAGTGGTTTGGCTGTGAGGCATGGAATTTTAAACGCCATGACTCCACAGTAGACTCGAAGAAAGGCAAACATATATCAGGTATCTTATTACTGTCAGAACGCATCAACCAAGTTTGAGAATGTCCAGACCAGAGTTAATCATCTTTTTTCCCAAGCACTTTGAGTCCATTTTGAGTCCATTTTGAGTCCATTTTGAGTCCATTTTGAGTCCATTTTGAGTCCAGTCCAGTCCATTTTGAGTCCAGTCCAGTCCATTTTGAGTCCAGTCCAGTTCCAGTCCAAGTTTTGCAACATGCCTTTGATCTTGCCAGGTGGGGTTTCTGAAGATTTCTAGCACGATTTGGTTTACATGTAGTACTAAGTACTGTTAGATTTGCATGTGTGTGAGGGCATGGTGGGGCATAATGTGAACAGTCTCTTTTCTTTCCTACTCCCTACGGGGGAAAAACGGGTAATGTGCATGTGTTTAGACTTCCACAGTCCCTCGTTCGGCCGCTACACACCACGCTAAGGGATTGTAATGGTAGAATGGTAGCGGATCTCTGATTGGCTGATAGATCTACTAATCTTGGCTACTTTCTCATTGGTTGATCATTCAGACATCGAAATTAATATGAGAATTCACCTTTTCGGCATTAGCCGTCACGTGATATAAATTGTGTTGGATTGTGTTACAGCCACCAAGAAGTTCGGACATTGTTCTCGGATTTCCGTACAAATGTACTGGCTTTAAATGAACTATTTACTTGGTTTGTTTAGTTAAATCTCTAAATACAAGTAAAATATCATTTTTCTAACTTGATTAAAGCTTTTCTTATAGCTGTTAAGAGATCTAACTAAAGAAATCTATCTAAATTTTCTCTTTAAACTCAGTGAATTTGTATGGGAATCGGAGAACGATGTCCGAACTTTTTGGTGGCGGTAACACAATCCAACGAAGCGTTTTAGACGAGACGGCTATCGCCGAAAAGGTGAATTATATCTCGTACGAGATTGATCAGTGCATTTTATCCAGTATTTAGGAAGTTGTCGCTGATTTGTAAAAAGTTCTTTCTAGACGTTTCGATGGAGATCTTGACGACCTTCATCGGTGGAATGATGGCTAATGTAAATTGCAGTTCTAAGAGAGGTATTCTTGGTAAATAGACCCCTTTCGAATTCCAAATTACCGCTGTGTTCCTTGATTACAGACTCATTTGCACAGGGTTAGCCTCGTATCAGTGTTTAWATATTCACAAATACCAACGTTAAAGTAAAGAATGCACAACTTCAACAATACAAACAGTTTTGTAATTCGACGGACCTTGACTGGAACGCGTTAATATTCTGCACAAACTCGAGGCTAACCCTGTGCAAATGAGTCTGTAATCAAGAAACACAGCGGTAATTTGGAATTCGAAAGGGATCTATTATAATATAAACCCTGGTTATTGCAGGGTTATTGAAATCGAACTTTCCTTTGAATGTTTCGATGTTACTGTGCTACGCGCCGTACCGTGAATACTCCTACAAGTTGATTTATTTTTGACATCTTTTTGACAAGTTTGAAATAAAGTAGAAGACAAATACACAAGAGACCATTCGTGTCTTTTGTTTAATAAATGTTCTGGTTGAGTGATAGCAACTATTAGTCTTGTCACTAAATAGATACTAGTCTATTAGCTAGTATTGATTTAGTTTACTACTCTTCGCAGTGGACCGAGCTTCAACACTGGTGATTACAGAGCATTTCCGCTGAGAGTGTTACGATTCGAGGGCTTTGATATATCTGTTCCAAATCAATGGGAGAAATTTTTGGGGAATGTTTATGGAAGGAATTATATGGATTTGCCTCCGAAAGAAAAACAGCAGTTTTATGAGAACCAGTTACCTGATCCAGTTCACGCATGTTCAGAATTCGACGAAGACGGTAACCTTCTGCACACTTCAAAAATATAGTCTATTAAACACGAAAGCAAAACGCTATTTTGATCTGGCCAGGTGTGGTTTCTGAAGATTTTTTGCACGATTTGCTTACATGTAGTACTAAGTACTGTTAGATTTGCATGTGTGTGAGGCAAGGTGGGGCATAATCTCTTGACGGTCAATTTTGTCTTTCAGGCCCTTGTCAGGTATACGATGCCTGAACATTTTATCGACTAGTTTGGCTAGCTGTTTGTTTTGAAGCTTTGCCCCGACAAGGTCGTCCGACTCATACTCATTTTGTAGCTCGGAGAGCGTGTCGTCGAGTGAGTCATCTGAATCGTTATCGCCATGTGACAGTCCAGTAATTGGCTTCAAGAGCTCACTAAGGAGCTCATTTGTGTCGCTGTCATCCCCCGCAATTTCTGAGGATGATTTGTCTTCGCTCGTGGAGCGATGGCAGTCATGGCGAGATTTTTTGGCGGGAAGATTCTCTGCATCTGTAGATTGTCGTTTAGCCGGACATTTCCTTTTTCCCTTCACGGAAGGAGTCTCTTCTTTCTGTGTCATATGTTTAGTTAAGTTTAGAATGGCTGATGTTAGTAGTTTTATCTCAGAACTACTGCCCTCTGTGGTATTTTGGTGGCTGGACTCCAAGGTGGTCCTTTCTTGTATACTCGTCCGGTCTACAGGATTCTTAGGCTCGTCCCCTTCCACGTCTGATTCTAGGTCCACATCTTCTGGAGGCTTCGGAAGTGTTGATTTGGCCGTATTGTCCATCTTGTAGAGTAAAATTACGATAATTCGTAAGAAAGTCAACGTGAGTTCTCATATACCTACTGCTTGCTCGGACATCACACTCGCACTGAGCTCGGATACTCAATGCTTGCTATCTCACGTGACCTTCGATTGTATGCAAATGCGAGGTAGAATATGCTTTGTTTATTTACTTGATAGTTACGCGTGACAGAGTTACAGATCATTTACATCGGTGTAATTTGGGCTTCCTGTGTTATGCCGATCCATTTTGTGCAGCTGTTGCGTGACTGAAACAAAATGGCGGTCATATTGTGAGGAACGTTTTCCTCGTTTTCTCGATGAAAAAGCCGATGTTCTCCCAGACCTAGACCAGTTTTCCCTTGAGGTCTCTTCTACTTCATATGTGATTCTGTTTGGCGATAGACAGGTATAAGTTATGAAAATATGCTTTGTTTATTTACTCGGTTACGCGTGACAAAGTTACTTACACATCGCGATGACAATAGTGTCTACTACTTTGTARTAGGCGCCAATTAGAAATCGGGGTATTTTTATTTTATTTTTGGCAAGTCTTTGAATGCATGCGCTCTTATACCGGAAGTCCAAGAAATCCTGGTCTCAAAAATGGATTATGYCAGAGCCGTCGTCTTCGCCGCAGGCCAGAAGTAACGCAGGCTCTGGGTACGAGATTGACCGCACCGTACATACCTTGAGCCCATCCCTAATGTACATGAAGAAGTGAATACTATTCACGGTGGTCACACTAGAATCACTTTGGTTCAAAGCTGGAAACACTTGTTCCAGTGCACTTTTCGTATTGTACTCKCTCCCATGACCTGGCATTCCTTGGTTAGTCATATTCCCCACCCTCCCTCCCTTGAGCTGTTTTGGTTCTTTGTAAAGCTCTGCTAGGTATACTTCATTTCTTAATCGCGGGGTGTACAGAACACTGCAGTGACCGGTGCATGTAATATATAATTCGAAGACCCACTACACCAACCTCGAAACAATCCAAGAATGTTCCGTAGTTTTCTGTTGCCTCGAAGGAGAAAAACAATCTATTGCATAGTGTTTCTGTTGTTGGTGATCGTGTTATTTATTCGTGGTYTTMATCWTCCGCKTSCTTTCCTAWTTAGAGAACGTCCAACTGTTCCAAGCGTAGAATACAACTTCAATAATATACCTTACGGACAACTGAAAAATGGAAGCTGCGCTTTACAGAAGAATGGTCAATGGAACTGTCCAGATATTCGTACCGAAGAACACAACACACTTCGACAAATGCAACTGGTTATGATGCGAATGTTGTTGATGTTCGACGCSTTRGCGAAGAAATATAATCTAAGTTACTGGATTACACGGGGAACTCTTTTAGGAGCAGCAAGGCACCAAGGATTHATCCCATRGGATAGTGATTTAGATATTGAAATGCCAATTGAAGATTATTTAAGGTTTCTTCATAAAGGAGCAGAAGAGTTGCCGTCAGATACATTCCTTCAGCATCACCAGAAAGAGAAACAGTTCTTTCATTCCGACTACACAGACAGCGACATTTTGCATATTAACTCGCATCAAAAGCAAAAGCTTTTAGATATTTTAATAGTACCTTGGAATCCTCGATTCAGAGATAAAAAGAGTTGTTATAAAAACTGTCTGAAACCCAAATGCTCCTGGCATGATGGTCTTCAGATCGACATATACCCCATCGCTTTACAAGACGGGTATTATCAAGATCAGTTTATTCGATCCAAAGTAAAGAAAGCATGGCGTTTTATTGGTTGGATCTTAGGCTTAAATACTGATGGTTACAGAGCATTCCCGCTGAGAGTGTTACGATTCGAGGGCTTTGATATATCTGTTCCAAATCAATGGGAGAAATTTTTGGGGAATGTTTATGGAAGGAATTATATGGATTTGCCTCCGAAAGAAAAACAGCGGTTTTATGAGAACCAGTTACCTGATCCAGTTCACGCATGTTCAGAGTTCGACGASAACGGTAACCTTCTGCACACTTCAAAAATATAGTCTACTATCCTATTGATTTGCTAGCTTTCAGTGGAAAGATATTCAAGCAAAAGAAGAAATCGGGCATGGGTCGTTTGGAATTGTTTTTAAATGTTCACTGGAGACAGGAAAATGAGGTGGTCGTAAAGACGTTGAGTGCCGAAGGGCAAGATAACCAACGAAGGTTTATCGGGGTTTGTTTAGTTAGTTCTCTAAATACAAGTAAAATATAATTTTTCTATCTTGATTGAAGCTTTTCTTACTGCAGTTAAGAGAGCTAACTAAAGAAATCTATCTAAGTTTTCTCTTTAAACCTAGTGAATTTGTATGGGAATCCGAGAACGATGTACGAACTTTTTGGTGGCCGTAACACAATCCAACGAAGCGTTTAAAACGAGACGGCTATCGCCGAAAAGCTGAATTACATCTCGTAACAGATTGATCAGTGCATTTTATCCATCTTTTTGACAAGTTTGAAATAAAGTAGAAGACAAATGCACAAGAGACCATTAGTGTCTATTGTTTAATAAATGTTCTGGTTGAGTGATGGCAACTATTAGTCTAGTCACTAAATAGATACTATTAGTTAGTATTGATTTAGTTTACTACTCTTCCCAGTAGACCGAGGCAGTTTTTTTTTTGTTTTTTGTTTTGATTTTTTTATCGCATTCGTAGCTTCTATTATGTTATCCAGAAGTACATTCCAAATCGACCACGTGATACCAATGTTGTACCACGTGAACAAGCTTTTTACACCACGTGATCAAAATTCAGTCAAGTTTTAATCACGTGGTGTAAAAGGTAATTAGCAATTATTAACATGTTAGCAATGTAAAAAAAAAAAAAAAAAAAACACCGCTGTCCCGGACTGGCCAGCCTCACACCCGTGAAAACGCATTTATGCTTCCAAGTGTACGGTTGTTTCGAGGAAATCTATACCGGCTGAATGCAGGCTACGTGGAACACAAGGTCAGCCAGCCCGCAGCAACAGCCAGCCCGGGCGCCATACTTCGATTCACTGTATTGAAACAGGCCTGGTCTGTCGAGCCACTCCTTTTATTGAACCTCGTCTTAGACGTTTATACAAGATGAGTGTCAGATCTAACTACACAAACTAGAGCGGAGTCGGGTTGACCAGAAGGACTTTCCTTAGTCGGTGTGGCTGTCAGTCGGGATTCCTTACTCGGCCACTGTCCTTACTTAGGTCTGTACCTCCCAATACAACCCGAACTACAACCTTAGCCTTGTTCACAACTAAGTACAAGATTGAATACACAGAAATATTTAAATTACACGTTCTTATATAACCAGGTAATCCAATTTGAAATTCTTTTTACATCACGTATTTCTAGACAAGTTTAACCTCGGTGGCTTGAATGTTTAGGTTAATTTGAAATAGTTTTGTAGAACAGGAAACTACGAGTAGATCTCCAAGGCAAAACAGTCTCGGTCACTAAACTAAACACGTAGACTTGCAGAATCATATACAAAAAGCATTATTCATGTGAACAAATCATTCCTAAAATTCTGTTTCATAATATACCCCCCTCCCCTCCCCCCCTTCTTAAATCAGTGCAGCTCCTGGTGCACATCTTATCTAAAACATGTCGGGTAAAAAGAAAATGTCTAATTAAAGAATGACGTCCAAGTGTTAGTTAATGGAATTGGAAAAGGTCTATGAATTTGCTGAAAAGTGTTTGATAAGTTTTTCGATCTTTCGTTCACGTTTTTCGATTCTGTTCCAAGCGTAATCCAAATCGCTTTTAGCTCGCTATTCAGTTGCTCTGCGGTCAATTGAGCATTTCCGAGTTCTTCAGATTTTAGTTCGATGCCTCGTTCTTTTTTCATCAATAATGATTTGAAGTTTCAAAAGTCTACTATCTCTTTTCTGAATTGCTTTATTGGCCTCTCGTTTATAATTAGATTTTTTGTTTCGCAAAGCATGATGGGCCCAAAAAACTTGGACCCATAAGCCCTTTCGGCATTGTACAGTCTCTAAGCGTGGAGAGTGCCGAGTGAGAGAAGAGTCTACTGTCTGTTACATTTGTTTAAAATCTTTCTTATCGTGATTTCAGGTCACGTGAGTTATTTTGAGAAAGTATGAAGTTTCCACTGTAAAGTTAAGTGTGAAATGCGAAGTATGAAATGTGAATGTCCCTTCAAATGCTTTCCTACGCTTATGATCACCCTTCCTATACTAATTGTATTACGTGTAATTCAGTGTATATACCTAATTGAAAAATCGTTGTCGGGTTCAAAAAAAGTTTATATCATCAAAGCTAAGGCCGAAGGGGAGCATGGGAAGACAACTATTATGCTAATGTCTTGCGTATTGCAGTTATCCCTTCCTGTGCACATTTTATGCATYATGGCTTTGGTATGTTGTTTGTCTAGGTCGACCGACTTTGCTCTACTGTGCATTTTTACATGTCTATATGCAAACGTAATACACATTTCGAAGTATCCAAAATCCTTTTCAGTCTTAGCTTCGATGATATAACCTCGAACCCGACTACGTTTTTTCAATTAGATGTATATTTTTAGGAATACATTAGAGATTTCCGATTTAGCGGATTATAGGCGGAATAGGCATATACTAACGGAATAGGTACATCGTGTAGCTGATGCGTTGTGAATTCAGTCAAACCGTTAAATAGGTGCCGTAAACTAAATCAAACTAACTTCTGAATCGTCTTTGTATTTATATAGGGTATT